ACTAAGATGTAGGGTTTATCTGTTAACACAGCACAAGTTAGTTTTTGTAGTGAAAAGTATGAATATTCACAGTAAGTAGAATAAAGACTAAAAATAGACCTGTGTTCATTCAGACCAGGGTTTGCCACAAATAAAAAAAAAAAAAAAAAAGCCACCTGCTTACTGCTTCATCCAGTAGAGAAGCACTTGTGCCAGACTGTAAACCAGTGATAGGACAATTGAATTGTAAAAATGGACGCAGTCACCAAAGCCATATGAATAAAACATCTGTTGTCATTCTGCTTTCCAAAGTAATTTTCTGGACACACAAAATGTGTATTAAAATAAAAAGAATTATTGAAATAGAAGCAATCTGTATTTTCTACTTCAATTAATTCAGTTAACGAGTAAATGAAGTATGACTCCTGATTCTCTGCATAGATGGAGGAATCTGTGATCACAGAGAACTGAAGTCCACAATTTGTCCCACTCACCTCATTTTATCTAGTTGCCACATCTTTCCACAAGTTTTACTGGAACTGGACCCAAGATGCAAGACGAATTGACTGTATTTCATTTCTATTTCTTTATCTTGACTACCTATTGTTGGAGTTACCAATCAGTACAGAACTATCTGAGCAAGACAGAGCAGGAGAAAGAAATACTGAGCAGGAGAAAGAAATACAAAGTTTATCTGATTCTCAAACAGGATATTCCAATCTCAGCAAATGTTTATCAAATGCAAGCTCCTACATACAAGAGAGTGGAAAAAAATGGGAATTCAGAGATATGGTGTTTACATATTACTTTTAAGAATAAAACTGTTTGAGGCAAAAAAAAAAAAAAAAAGCAATGCCATGCTATAGAAGCAGTTACCAATTTAACAACTATTTCTTAACAAAAAATAACTAAACTTACCATAAAAAGGATCCAACTGAAAGAGGGGGGATGGGATGGGAAGAGACCAGTATAGATAAGACAAACTAGGCCATGAAAACAGTGTGTTACAGATTCAAAAAGAACACAATCTCCATGATCTGTGCCTATAGACAATTAGGACTATGAGGAATTTGAGTTCCTAATATTTAGTCTGGAAATTAGTAAGAAAATACAGAGAAGAGCAAAAATAGGGAAAGGTGTGAGGAAATAGCATTTGCACTGAAATTTAGCCATGACTGCCGTTTTTGGTAAGTAGGAGAAGTTTGTTGATCAGCTTAGTACCTTCCTGACAGCACTAACGTAAGTGAACTGAGACACACTTTGGGATCTGAGTTTCAGAAGCCCAGACATGTCGTATATAATGCATGGAGGCTTCTGCGTCTATGTAACATGAATGGTATGGTTTTCTTTGGTTTAATTTTTCTTTCACCCCTATCATTATAAATGAAAGAAGAAAATGTAATGTGTGTGCCCATGTGCACGCATGTATGTGAGAGAAGTGAAATAACTTAATTTTAAATTCTGTATATTTCACTTATTTCAAAATTTCAATGTTTCTGTGAAAGAGATCAGATTTATAGCTGGTGAAAGCAGAAAAATCCAAATATGAATAGATCATAGTCAATTTTGCCACTGTTTTCCTGGTCTCCACATTTGGAATTCTCTTTGACTCTTCTCTTGACCACAATTCAGCTAATTTCTGAGGTTTATTGGTATTGACAAACCTTCTCTTCTTATGCCCCTAGGCTGTCACACATTCAAAAATGTTTATGAAGAGTTAAATGCCAGACTCCTCATACCTCCTTAATTGTCTAAATTGCCCCAGTCCTTGTGCCTTCATGTGGCTCTGCACCTATGTTCTGAAAGCATGAAATTTCCCATTTCACTTTCTTATTCCAAATATCTTGATAGTTCTTCATAGTGTCCTGAATAAAATGACAATGAAAGTAACACTGGACTCTTAGTATCAGAGCTGGTTTATAGTCTCTTCTATCACTGACCTTCACCCCTATACGCACCTATTTCTTCCTCTGTAACCAGCAGAGCACCATAGTAACTAGTCTAGAGGAATTCAATTGTTGCTCACAAGTAGGTTGTTTTTCTCCCCATTGTACACCTGAAGAAACAAGGATCACTCCAGTTAAGTGATTTGCTCAGAGCTGCTCAGCTAATAAGTAGAAAAGCAGAAATATAACAGTGTTTTCGGAACCAAAACTCTTTCTACCACCTCCTTCTAAAATAATGTCATCTGAAGTGGCTCCCCTCCTGTGCTGTTCAATAGAATAGCTACTAGCTTTTAATTAAATGAAATTTTAAAATTCAATTCCTCAGTCACACCAACCACATTACAAATGTCCAATAGCCACATGTGGCTGGTGGCTGCTATACTAGCCAGTGAAGATTATAAGACATTTCCATCAACACAGAATTTTATTGGACAGGTTAGGACTTCTAGTCAGCACTTGGCTTCTGTCATTCTTTGATTTCTATCTGGCATTCAAAGCCTTCCAGAGCCTGCTTTTAGCTCTCCCTTACTGTTGTGTTAACTCATGATTCTCAATCAAACTCTTTAAGTGCCTCCCAGAGAGGGCACTGTTTCTATGTCCTTCACTGTACCTAACACAGTACCTTCCCTAGAGCAGATAAATATCTGGATGGATGAATGGATAATGGGAAGGGAGGGAAGAATGAAGGAAGTGGCATTCATTTATACTTTCATTAGACAAATACTTACTGAGCATCTACTATGTGCTCAGCATTCTTCTAGGTTCCTGTGATTACTATGGTGACCAGACATGGTCATGTGAAATTTACTTTCTGCCTGGGAGGGTGGAAGAGTTGAGAGCAGATCACAAATTTAAATACAGGGTTGTGGAAAAAAACAGCATGTTGTACTGAGTGACTGGAAGTGGGAGTGGGACTGGGTAAACTATAGATATGGTGGTCTCTAATGAAGAACCATGTGAACCCAAATCTGAATAAGAAGATGCCAACCATATGAAGTGGAACAAGTTCCATAAAAAAGCAGCTGTGCTGTTCAAATGACACTTTTACATAATTAAATAACATGCTTATCCTCGGCTTAACTCCCCAGTATAAATCTCCAGTTTAATAATATCAATACAATTACCCTGAAGGAAGGATGCAACGAGGAATGGGTACGACAATTAATTTAGGAAGAAAAATTAATATAGTCCATTGAAGTTGAAATGGCATCTAGCTTTTATGATGTTTCTCTTCTTTTGTTGTATAGCTTTGTTGCTGGACCACAGAAAGCTGTCCTCGAAGATATATTACAGAAGGCAAAATTCTTTCAAGACAAAAGATATGTTTCAAGAGTAGCAAGAGGCAGCAGAACTAACACCAGAAAATTTACCAGAAACACATATATTACCTTTAAAAATGGAAAAAAAGTGACAAGAACTGTTCCCAAATAACATCAAGGAAGTGCTCAAAGAATTTAGCTTTAGGAAGCCTGGTAAGACTCTGGACTTAAGTAAACCCACTGCCAAATCCATGGGCAACTTTTATTCGGATATCTGCCTGTATCTGGAGGTTCACTCTGGAGGGCTGGACAAACCACAGTTTATAGATTATAAGGCAACGTGACCCCTTGCTGTCATTGGTATTAAGATATATCTTATCCACTTATTTCACCACTCCTAATAATTCCAGCATGCTAAGACTGATATGTTCAAGGACTGTTATCATTAAAAGATAGAAGAATGAAGAAGTGTTTTGAAAAGTCTAACAGAGATATACTTTGAAGGTAAATTTTACATAGTGTATACATGTGTGTACATGGGTCAATGCTAATTCTTTTGATTGTAGGTCTCTGTCCAGTCCATTTTCTGCAAACCAAGCTGTCTTTCTTAATTTAGTATTGTTTAAAGCTCATCTGTTTAACCAAATGTTGCTTTGGGAGACCCCAACATTTACCTGAGAGGTTGATGCTTTTGGTACGTCATAATTTTGAAAATTTGGCTTCCCATGATGAGTCCATTTAAACACAGCACTTTCTGTATATACTGGCTTGTCCTCCGATGGGCTTGTGCTGGAAGGTTTCTTCCCACCTTCTTCAGTTGTTTGCTTGGACAAGTGTGAAGCAGAGGCTAATTTCCCCTAGCTCCAAATCCTCCCTAACTCACTGAGAAACTCATTAATTCTCCCAGAACATAAATTATTGCTTTTGACCTACAAGTTCCTTCCTCATTATATAGAGACTCCTGCCTGGACATTTTTATAGGCTTTTATTCTTTCTTTCCCATTATTGTCATTTATTATTTTTAAAAATCCATATATTCTTTAGACAAGGAGATTAAAGGCACAACTTGTCATGGGTGAAGCTCTGAGTTACTTTTACCCATCAGGTAGCTATTTAGTCAATAGTAAACAGCACCAAACAGGATTGGCAGAACTCTGAAAAGAACATAAATGTACACTGACTTCGGTAAAGAAAAGAAAGTTGTTAATGTTTTAATCTTCAAATACATATGGCTTTGCAGAAATGCAAAAGAGATCAGGGTAAGTTAAAGCAGGAAAGGTTTTCAAAGTGCCTAGCCCCCATTAGCATTCTCTGATGGCTCACTCTCTCCTCACCCCCATCCAGATCATAACTAAACCTTATGACAGAGCTGATTATTTTCAACAATTAAACACCAAAGGATCATTATTTAATTTAGACACAATGTTTAGACTTTACCTCAGATTGCAAGAGCTGGCTCCACAGCTGGTAGCAATGGCCCTGCTAGGCAGAATATGACTCTTTGGGAAAGGAGAGAGGCCCTGCTTAGATGTGTGGGACAGATGGTTACTGACACCCAACACCAGTAGGTTTGGTCTGATTTTCTTTTCTATATCTCTCTTCATAAAACCTGGAAAGGGGCGGCAATCTGCTGTGTGTTTTTAAACCACTTCTGCCGTCCTTACTCAGGCAACTCCACAGAGATAGCTCTAGTGGGGGTAGAGGGTGGGTAAGCAGTTAAAATGTCATATTCATACTCAGGTAATAGAAAAAAATAAAGTACATCAGGTTTCTTCATATCTTAAGTGGTGCTTAGGGGTTCAGGAAAAAATTTTGCTTTAAGTACAGGAAATTGATGAGCAATATTTAAGAGGTATTTTAATAAAAGGAATTTTTCCGGTTAACTTTGGATTAAATAAAGAGTCCTTTCTTCTGTTTATGGCTGGAAATACTTTTGATTTTTTTCTGCATTGATAAGTAAAGTACACCAAGCAAATATTCCCTGGATGACTGAGATTATCTCAGCATTTTGGGTCTTTTTAATCATTAACAGGAGAAGAGTCTGAAACGTACTGCAAATATTAAGTTCATTTTAAAAAATAAATCCCTAATATTAGCATTTCCCATGATTTACCTCTCTCCTAAAAGGGGAAAGCAGCAAAAGATTGGTGTAAATTAAATAAAATCCTATTTAAACCAAGAATCACACGAATAAGCAGTGACGTTTCTTGGTTTAAAAATGTAAATTAATTGCCTATAAAGGACATGCCCATTATTTCTGCATTGAGTTATGAGTCAAACATATTAAAGTAGAAAATGTAGAAGTAGAAAAGAGATGCAACTCAACAGAGCATCAATTGTAATACTTAGTAAAACTTAACCAAATGATCTCTTTTAAAAAGCAAGGGAGGGGAAGATTTTAAAGGAGAGAAAAATGGATGGTAAGATGAGAAAAGGATTATATCTCCATTAACCTACTCCATTTTTTTCCTCAGCATTTGTCACGTTTATTAGTCCTGGTTTATCCAATGGCTCTAGACTTGAAACCCATTCTCAGCATAACAGTTTATGTCTCAAAAAAATTTCCTCCAAACTCTGCAGACTCTAAATCTGACTTAGTAGCTAAGAAACTCTGTAATCATGATCTTAGCAGACTTTAAGGGAAACAAAGGCAATGCAACATAATAACGCCCAATCAAATTTAGAAATTCTACAGATTCATTAAGTTATCTAGTCAGAGTCCATCATTCCTGATTTATCTTTTTTTATTAAAGGACATTTGGCATACAATATTTCAAGTGTACAACATAGTCATTCTACATTTATATACCTTACAATGTGATCACCATGATATATCTAGTAAGCATCTGTCACAGTACAAAGATATTACAATATTATTGACTGTATTCCCTGTGTTGTCTATTACATCCCCGTGACTTATTTACAACTGGAAGTTTGTACCTCTTATTTCCCTTTACCTTTTTCATTCATCCTCTCACACCTTTTCCCTCTGGCAACCATCAGTTTGTTCTCTATGAGTCTGTTTCTGTTTTGTTTGTTGATTTTTTTAAGATTCCACATGTAAATGAAATCATCTGGTATTTGTCTTTCTCTTATTTCACTTAGCATGTTGTCAAAAATGGCAAGATTTCATTCTTTTTTTGTTGCTGAATAATATTCCATTGTGGGTATATATACATGTTTATCCATTCATCTATCGATGGACACTTAGGTTTCTTCTATATCTTGATTTTGTAAATAATGCTGCATACATCTTTTTGAATTAGTGTTGTTTTCTCTGGATAATGCCCAGAACTAGAATTGTTGGGTCATGTGGTAGTTCTATTTTTAATTTTTTGAGGAACGTCCATATTGTTTAACATAGTGGCTGCAATTATTTACAGTCACCAACAGTGCACAAGGATTCCCATTTCTCCACATACTTGTCAACACTCGTTATTGACTTTTTGATAATAGCCATTTTGACAGGTGTTAAGTGATATCTCATTATGGTTTTGATTTCAATTTCCCTGATTAGTGATGCCGAGCATCTTTTTATGTCTTTTGGCCATCTACATGTCTTTAAATAAATATGAATTCAAGACATCTGACCATTTTTTAATCAGATTTTTTTTATGTTGAGTTGTATAAGTTCTTTATATATTTTAGATATTAACTCTTTATTGGATATATCATCTGCAAATATCTTCTCCTATATAGTGGGTTGTCTTTTCATTTGTTAATGGTTTCACTGTGCAAAAGCTTTATAGTTTATTGTAGCCCCATTTGTTTACTTCTGCTTTCGTTGCCCTTGTCCAGAGAGACATATCCAAAAAAATGCTGCTAAGACTGATGTCGAAGAGTTTACTCTTCTTCTAGTAGTTTTATGGTTTCAGGTCTTACAATTAAGTCTTTAATTCACTTGAGTTCATTTTAGTATACAGTATAAGAAAGTTATCCAGATTAACTTTTTTACATGTATCTACACAGTTTTCCCAGTACCATTTATTAAAGAGACTGTCATTTCCCTATTGCATATTTTTGCCTCCCTTGTAGATTGACCATATATGTGTGGGATTATTTCTGGGTTCTCTGTTCTGTTCCATTGATCTATGTGTCTGTTTTTGTGCTGATACCATACCATTTTAATTACTATAGCCTGTAGTATAGGTTGATATCAGGGGACTTGATGCCTCCAACTTTGTTCTTGTTTTTCTTTCTCAAGATTGTTTTGGCAATTCCATATCTTTTGTGGTTTCATACAAATTTTAGAATTACTTGTTCTAGTTTTGTGAAAAATGTCATTGGTATTTCGATAGAAATTGCATTGAATCTGTAGATTGCTTTGGGTAGTATGGACATTTTTATATTAATCTTTCCAATCCATGAGCATGATATATCTATTTATTTGCATTGTCTTCAGTTTCTTTCATTGATGTCTTATAGTTTTCAGAGTACAGGTTTTTTACTAAACTCCTTGGTTAAATTTATTGAGGCATTTTATTCTTTTTGATGCAGTTGTAAATGGAACTGTTTTCTTAATCTTTCTGATAGCTTGTTACTAATGTATAACAGATTTCTGAATATTTTGTATCCTGCAACTTTACTGAACTCATTTATTAGTTCTAATAGTTTTTTGGTGGAGTCTTTAGGAATTTCTGTATACAATAGCATGTCATCTACAAATAGTAATAGTTTTTCTTACTTTCTAATTTGGTTGTCTTTTCTTTATCTTGTCTGATTGCTGTGTCTAGAACTTTCAATCCTATGTTGAATAAAAATGTTGTGAGCACACATCTTTATCTTGTTCCTAATCTTAGAAAGAAAGCTTTCATCTTTTCACTGTTGAGTATGATGTTAGCTATGATTTTGACATATAGAGCCTTTATTATGTTGAGGTATATTCCTTCTATACCCATTTTGTTGAGAATTCTTGTAAGTAGATGTTGAATCCTGTCAGATGTTTTTTATCTATTGAGAGGATCATATGATTTTTATTATTGGTTTGGTTAATGTTATGTATCATTTAAAGCCACTGTTTCCTGTCTGGATGACCTAGCCATTGATGTTAAGTAGGGTATTAAAGGCCCCTACTATTTTTGTATTACTGTCAATTTCTTCCTTTATGGCTATATATACATATTTAGATGCTTTTACATTTGGGTATAAATATTTATGAATGTTATATCCTCT